TAATACAGCAATCATCTTTTTGAAGAAAACTACAAGAAATGCAAGGAGTCACAGATACATACAAATAACAGGAGACTTACTCTTATAATTGAACACGTTCCTTTCTAGTCCTTATGTAACGAGTAACAAAAACTGATGATGTATTACAGGTGCAAAGTGAAGTGTAAATTTTAAAAAGACTCACTTTAGAGCTCCTACATGTTTAGTGTTGACATGTAAAATTGTCTCCTTAACTTTTTTGCCGTAGGTGTCTCACTTGCTTAACCCTAGCCCTGGCCTTGATACATTAGGTCACAATGAAAACATTACAGCATTTCATAAAGTAGAAATAATAGAAACAGTACTCTCTGATTTCAATGCAGTAAAACTAGAAATTAACAAAGTAAATAAGCAAAAAGCCCTCCCACCTGGAAATTCAAAAACCTTGCTACGGACTGAACTGTGTCTCCCCAAAATTCGTTCTGTTGAAGTCTCAGATGCAATACTTTAGAATGTGATTGTATTTGGAGACAGGACCTTTAAAGAGGTATCTAGAGTTAAATGAGGTTATCTGGGTGGGTCCTAATCCCTATGACTGGTGTCCTCCTAAGAAGAGGGAGAGGTACTAGAGACATATGCACACAGAGGAAAGGCCTTGTAAGGACAGAGCAAGAAAGTAACCATCTATAAACCAACAAAAGAGGCCTCAGGAAATACCAAATCTGCTAACACCTTGAGATCTCAAACATCTAGAGTCCAAACTTCTAGAGTCTAGAAGTCCAAACTTCTATCGTTGAAACCATCCTATCTGTGGTATTTTACTATGACAGCCCTAGCAAACTATTAATTTTACCTCATATTAAACAATTCCACCTTCTATTAATACATCTATTAATTTTGGGGTGAAAAGGAAAATACAAATTGAATTAGAAATTCTAAAAAGTTAATGATAATTAAAACACTACATGTCATAATCTATAGAATATTTTTAAAGCAGGGATAAGAAAAAGCTCACGTGAGAAACTTCACCAATAAAAATGAAAGAACGAGGGGCGCCTGGGTGGCTCAGTCAGTTAAGCGTCCGACTTTGGCTCAGGTAATGATCTCACAGTTTGTGAGTTCAAGCCCTGCGTTGGGCTCTGTGCTGACAGCTGAGAGCCTGAAGCCTGCTTCGGATTCTGTGTCTCCCTCTTTCTTTGCCCCTCCTGTGCTCATGCTCTGTCTCTCTCTCTCTCTCAAAAATAAACAAAACATTAAAAAAAAAATTTTTTTAATGAAAGAACACTTGTTGAGTTAAATTCCAAACTCAAAATTTAACAAAAAAATGAACAAAGTAAACTAAAAGAAAGCATAAGGTATACAACATGATCTTAGAAAACTCTAAACATCTACAAAACAGCTAGTAGAAAACATATGACTTTAGTAAGGTCACAGAATTCAAGGTCAACACATAAAAGTCCACTAACTATATTTCTATATGCCAGCAATGAGCAATTAGAAAGTGAAATTAAAAAAAAAAAAAACACTCCTATTTATAATCACATAAAAATGCTAAGAAATAAAATGTAACACAAGCATGACATATTCAATGAAAACTATAAAACTCTGATGACAAAACTTAAAGATGATATAATTAAATGAGAAGATAGGCCATATTAACGGACTGGATAGACTCAATATTGTTGACATGACAACTCTCCTCAAACTGAGCTACAGATTCATGTAATCCCAATCAAAATCCTAACAAGCCTTTTTGAAAAAGGTGACAGGCTGATTTTAAAGTTTATATGGAAAGGCAAAAGACTTAGAAGAGCCAAACAATCTTGACAAAAAAGACCAAGGTACAGAGGACTTGCACTACCTGAATCACACTTGTGACACAACCATAGTAGTCAAGACAGTATGATATTCGTGTCAAGATGGACAAACAGACCAATGTAAGTAAGAGTCCAGAAACAGACACATTTATATGGTCAACTGATTTTCAACAAAGGTACCAAAAGAATTCAATGGAAGAAAAGACAGTCCTCAACAAATGATGCTGGAACAAGTGGAAGTTAAAAATGAACGTCAACCATCACCTCACACTACAGAAAAATTAACACGAATTGGACCAGAAAACCTAAATGTAAGAAACAAAATATTAATCTTTTAGAAGAAAACATAAGATAAATCTTTATGACACAAGATTATGCAAAGCTTTCTTTGTTTCTTTTTAATTTTTTTTTAATGTTTACTTTTGACAGAGAGAGAGAGAGAGAGAGAGAGACAGAGCATGAGCGGGGGAGGGGCAGAGAGAGAGGAAGACACAGAATCCGAAGCCGGCTCCAGACTCTGAGCTGTCAGCACAGAGCCCGACACAGGGCTCGAACTCACAGACCACGAGACCATGACCTGAGCTGAAGTCGGACGCTCAACCTACTGAGCCACCCAGGAGCCCCTGCAAAGCCTTCTTTCTTAAACAAACAGAACACACAAAAAACACAAACAAGAAAAAAATGATAAAATGGACTTCATCAAAATAAAAAAAAAATCTGTTTTCAGTAGACACAATTTAAGCAAAGCAAGCCACAGACTGGGAGAAAACATCTGTCAAACACGAATCTGACAAAGTACTTGTATGCCAAATAAAGAGCTGTTATAACTCGATATGAAGATAACTCCCCAATTTTAAAAATGGGCAAAGTATCTGAACAGACACATCAAAAATCCACATTACAAGATGCTAAATAAACATCTCCAGCCATCTAGGAAAATCAAATTAAGACCACAGTGATATATTAGTACACATCCTCTAGAGTTAAATTAAAAAGATTAACAAGTGTCAGTCAAGATGTGTTAAACAAATGGAACTGTCATAGGGGAACTCTCATACGTTGCTACTAGAAATGAAAAATAGCGTAACTACTTTGTACAACAGTATTGCTATATGTTATAAAACAGCATTGCCATGTGTCATCACTCAGCAAAGTCATTCTCAGATATTTAACCAAGAGACAAACATATGCCCAAAGATTTGTACATGAATGTTCATAGTAGCATTGTTCATAATAGCCCCAAACTAGTAACAATCCAAATGTCTGTCCATCAAAGGAAAAAGAAAAAGCAAATCACATTACATCCATACAATGGAATACCAATCAGCAATACAAAGTGATCAACTATTGCCATATGCAATAACATGGATAAACCAGGGGGTGTCTAAGGCTGGGGATCAGGGGAGAGGTCAACTGAAAGAGACATGGGGAAACTTTAAGGGTGATGGAAGTGTTCTATGTTTTTACTGTGGTGATTACATAACTTTACACAATTACCAAAAGGCATCAAGCTGTACATTTTTTAAATGGGTGAATTTTATTTTATGTACATTAAACACTAATACAACTATAAAAACTTTATGGCAAAAAAAAAAAAAAAAACACACACAGAATCAAGAAGCAGAAATTAATGAGGTAGGAAATAGAAAAACAGTTGACTCCATAAATCAAATTCCTAGTTTAAAAAAATACCGAACTGTATGCTTAAAAATGACTAAAATAGTGAATTCTGTTATGTATATTTTATCACAGTAAAAAGAATAAAATCAACAAAGCAATAGCTGACTCGATAAAGAAAGAGGGGAGAAAAAAGGACAATTACAAAATAAGAAATGGTCAAGGGAAGGTGCATTGAAACAAAAGAAATTAAAAAATAAAAATGATATTGCAGATCTCTATGAAGATAAATCTGCAAACAAAGATGAAATAAATAATTTCTTATGAAACACAGATGATTAAAACTGATCCCAATAGAGAAAGAGAGCCTTAACAAGTTGTTTTCTATGGAATAAACAGATACTTATTTCAGAAGTTAAGGTTGTTTCAAGATTACAAAATCCATTAATACACAATATTAATAATGTAAGAGAGGAAAAATCATGATTATCTCCAGAGATGCTGAAAACCTTTGAAAATTTGCAACACCATACCTATTATTGCTACTGTCATGTTTGCCAAATGATGTTTTCCTATTTCCATTATTCTTTCTACATTTATTAGTTGGAATTCTCCTGAAAAAAGCTTTCCTTCTCTCTAAATATTACACATTAGGGGTGCTTGGGTGGCTCAGTTGGTTGAGCATCCAGCTCTTGATTTTGTCTCGGATCACGATCCAGTCGTGGGATCGAGCCCTGTGTTGGGCTCTGAGCTAAGTGTGGAGCCTGCTTGGGATTCTCTCTCTCTCTCCATCCCCCCTCCCCTCTTGTGCTCTCTCTAAAATAAAAATTTAAAAATAATTACACATTATATCATTTGGATCCATAGATTTTTATTTTATCCTATGGACTGTAATCTTTTATTATAACTTATTTCATTGCTCAAATTGTCTCATATTTGGCCAATGGGTGCTAAAATTAGTGGAAGAATGTATTATGCAGAAGTATGATGAGAAAATTTACATAGTCTCAGGATATTTCCCCATAAGATAATTATATATCACAAAGAGGAAAAAACAGTCACCTTATAATGGAAAAATCTGGCACACATCACCTTAACCAAGTGATCAAAGTTAACATCACCGGTAAGGGTAAGGTACAAATAATATACCTCCTGATATAATGCACTGAGGACACAAGACTTTGACTTTGGTATTATTTTCACTAAACATGTTACAACCTGAATTTAATCACAAAGAATTTAAGACAAACTCAAACTGAGGGGTGATCTACAAAATAACTGGCTAGCACTCTAAAAGTAAAGGTAATGTATGATTCTGGATTGGATCTTAGACCAGAAATAGACTATCAATGGGATAATTGGTAAAATTTGAGTAAGCTGAGTAAGTGTAATATTTATTTTGTTTCCTCATTATATTGATGTTAGTATCTTATTAATTCTGATGATTGTAATATGGTTATGGAAGATGTCCGTTTTTGGAGATCTCCATGAATTCATATGGAAATCCTCTGTATGACTGTTACAATGTTTTGTGAGCTCTGAATTTATTTCAAAATGAAGTTTAAAATATATATACGTATATATAACCTAATACTCTGAAGTTCCCTTCTGGCCGACTCTTCTGCCATCTGTGAAGCTCGCAATTTCTCTTCACACTGATCCTTTTCAGATTGTCTGCAGACATCATGTTCCACTTTCATTTTTTCTAAATCCGCTAATCTGTTCTCAAGCTCTAGCCTAAAACAACAGATGATAATTATGTTAGAAGAACTACAATAACGATGATATGACAGCAAAATGTTTTCATTTACAAGAAGACTGAACACAAAGTAAGGTAATTAAGTACTTACTTTTCATCTTGTAATATCACGAGTTTTTGATAACCTTCTTCCTTGGCAGCTTGTACTTTACGTATTAATTCACGATCCTTTTCTACTAGGAGTGCTTTGTGGTGTTCAACAGCTGACTTGAGAATTTCATTGTCTGACTGTAACCCTAACATTTTTTGAAGGAAAAAAATATGCTGCATTCAATGTTATTAAGATGAAAAGTCATAACAGCAAGCATCCATAAACTGATTAAGACAATTAAAAGAGCATAGAAAGTGAGTCTGGATATATATTCTCGAAGATCTTTAAATCTTTATTGATAAACCTTATGAAACAGACTAAAACTCAGAGCTAACCATCCTATCCATTCACACACACTTTAATAAAAGACTATATTTACTCACTTGACTCTTGAGAGCTGGGGACATCAACCCAGATGATATCAAAAGAGATATATAATACTTCACTTCTAAAAGGGTTCTGTAATCTTAGCCCCACAGATAGCATCATCATAAAGCTGGCTGGAAGTAGTATAAAAAAAAATCACAGAAACCTTCAAAACCTATCATTCTAACAGAACTGTCAGGTTTCTGGTAGAAATATAAATTAGAAACTTTCAAGTTTATCCAATGAATTCACAAATTTTCCTTGTATTGATATGGCAAGTATTTTGCACATGGAATAACTAAAATAAATTCATACCTAACTCAAGTTTAAAAAGAATGCAGAACTAAATCATAAACTCTTGAAATTCCTAAGAAACGTTACTCCCAGAGCGCCTGGGTGGCTCAGTTGGTTAAGAAACGTTACTCCCTAACTCTATGGAAACCCATCAATCAATATCAAATAGAAATAAACGATGAAAACACTAATTCATCATAAGCTCTGTCTGAAACTACAGACATCAGTTCAACTAAAGACCCACTTGAGGAAAGTTACAGGCCAAAGGTAGCTTATTTAAACACCTTTTAAGAAAAGTCAGGGGCGGGGGGGAAAAAAAGGAAAGTCAGAAATAGCATAATTCTGAGGAATCATGAAGAGAAGGGCATTCTAAGACTAAAGTGGAACTTAAAATAAGCCTAGGCTAAAGTAGGCTCAATAACAAGCCTACTATCTACATAAAAAACAGAAATTGGGTCTGAAACCCACCTATCTTCCTTACATTCTTTAGACTCAAAACGGTCTGGGACTAATAATCACATGATCTAAATAGATTCAAAATTATAAACCCAGAAAGTATGGATTCCCATTTGTAAAGTCTCATTTAAGTATTAATCAAGTAAATGACATAAACATAAGATTTTCTTAAAAGCTAGATCACAAAATGAACATTCAACATAAATAAAAATAATCCATGTGCTCTAAGATTAAAATTCAGTCTGAAAATAAAAATTCAGTCTGATCTATTTTAATAATTTGAGTTTATATGTAAAAATAATAGTAAAAAGCATGGGAAATCATATATTACCATTTAGTTCACTTTGAATCTTATTCCTTTCTCTTTCTAGCTCACTCTTAGCTCTTGCTGCCTCCAGTTTGATGTCTGTTATTTCTAGTTTGTTTGAATGTTTAAGTTCTTTTACCTGTTGATAATCAGAAATTGAAATTACTATAGGCCATTAACTGTTACCCAAAAACATCAGTAGAAATGAGAAAATGTTTTGGTAGCAGGGTATACAGTGTAAGTATACCTTCCAAGAGAGAAGGTGCTTCAGTGCCTTGAACACTATTTGGTATTAAGAAAACAGTCTTTTCCTAACAAAACTCAGTTATTTCTTTACAGATACCTGGGTGGGGGTCATCTGGCTTAATCTTGCTTTAAAAGGCTTAACTGCAAGTACCTAAAATCCAGTAGTCAATGACTGGCTGAAACCTCCCTTTAAAAAAAGTGCTGGTGACATGAAGCCTTTCTAGGTATAAGGAACAGCATATAAAAAGTTATATAGGTGTAGCATTACATAGTATGCTTGGAAAACAATGAGCAATGTGTTATAGTTAGAGCAAAGGAAGGTATGAAATATGTGGAGTGGCAGGAAGTAAACTTTATATGCCATTGCAAAGGTCTGTGTATCCTGTTAGCTACTGAAGGTGGCACAGTCAACTTTGTTTCAGAAAATTAACTCTAGATGCAAATTAAGATTAAGAAACTGAAGGTAAAGAAACAATTAAGAGGCAAAGGATTGATAAAGGGGACAAGAAGGAAGAATTAATTGAATTCGGTGATTAAATAATGTGTGTGTGTCTGTGCGTGCGTGCGTGCATGTGTGTGTGTGGCAGCGGGTAGAACAAATATAAAACCTATCTAATTTAAACTTTTACTGCCCAAACCTGATTCTTTTAAAGCCCTGAGTGAATGGAAATAACTGTCAATATTTTCCATATAATTAACCTATCACATACCAGTTTTTAGTTTTCAATGAGACATTCCTTTTGAAAGTTGAATGATTCTAGTTCATAAGTAGTATTCATTCATTCATTCAATAAATATTTACTGAGCACTTATTATGTGCTCTAGCACTGTTTTAGGAGCTGGGGTTACAGAAACAAACAAGAAAGCTTATTAGTCTCTTCCAATTATCTGCACTACTCTCTAATATTTTCCATATCCTTTCCCTATGGTAAGGTGCTTCTAAAGTTAGTCTTATAGTTAATCCCATAATAAAGATTTAACCAATACAGACATAAAAATTAGATAAACCTGTACTCTGACATATTACACTCATGCATGAAACTACGAAATAAGAGTAGAAAACCACAAATATATACATGCCAAATATGTAAAACAGAAGACGGTGGGAACAGAAGACTAAAGGATAATTTACTTGAGTGCAACAGAAATCTACAAAAATTAAAGATGGGAGTTAGAAACAAATCAGTAAGAGCTCCTAGAGCTAAAGAGGGGAAGAACAAGAAATAGAAGTGTCTTACCAAAAGAGATTCCATCTATGAAAGGTCTTAAAAACATTATAAGGAATGGTTTGGCCAAAATCCAAAGAAATAGACAAGTACTGGGCTACCTTTGTACTGCTAACCACATTTAAGATGCATGCTTCCAAATTAACTTATCGATTTTTTAAATGATACTACATAAAATGAATACAGTGTGCTGACATAAGGTTTTTAAACATTTCTGAAGCTCTTTTCCATGAAAGCAAGCCTCACAGAAACTACACGAAAGCAGCTAAGAAACTGCATTTATCTTGATAACTTAAACTTTCTGTAGACTGGGCTTTACTATATTATAATTTCATGGACAGAATTTAAACCATAATTGTTTTAAAATTTTGGAGAAATATAACTACAGTGAAAATCCAATTTCTATAACAAATGAAATTATAGCCTGCTATTATATACTAACTGTAAAAGGTTAAGAATGACATAGCAGTTAATTAACAAACCACATTGTAGCCTCTCTAAATAAGAGGTGGAAAATTACAGCCATCTTATTTTGCATAAACTTGATTCATTTCAACAAGAACTACTACGAAATCTATAAAAAAAAAAAACTATTTCTTAATTCATTTCACCCTGAGATATACTGAAATGAGAAAATATTTTTCAACTAAACTATAATTATTGAAACTGAAAGAATTCTAGACAGGAAGTCAAACAAGTGAAGTCAGTCTTCAGGCCTACTTTTATTATTAAACTAGTGGTATATGCTCAAGCAAAGTATTTGTCATCTCGCATTCACATTTATTCATCTATGGGCCTATATGAGTTTAAGCTTTCCTTTAGTGCCACATTTCTATGATCCTAACATAATGAATGCACTTATACTAGTAGTAAGTATTAACTTCCTGAAAATATATTCAAAGGAATTTTATTTATTAAAAATGAGAAACTTATATCAATATTTATTACATAGCTATGACAGTAGCACATTCTGTAAGTAATCTGAACCAGATCCCAACTAGTCATAATAAACTTTTCTTTCTGACTCTAAATCTCTGGTTCTTCACCTTCTTTGTGATCAGGTCTCAAAAGTCCTAGGAAAACTACAGATCTTTTCCTAAACAAAGTGTACAATGTTAAAATGTTACATATAATTTCAAGAGATGCAGAGTCTTCTAAAGCTCCCTTGGGCTAAGGTACCCTGTTTTTCCTTTTATTTTTCATAATATGTTTTCCATGCTAGCCTTCATGATGCCAATTTATTTAATGCTTTTGACACAACAGGAGCCAAGAATTCAGAAAGTACTACCCAGTAAACTTTAAGAAATATAAACAGTGGCAATAGTTTTACAGGGATTCAGAATCTGTTAAATTACACATACACATATACACAAAGACATGGAAGAAAATAATATATGTAAGCAAGAAAAATATAGTAAAAAATGTATTACTCAAGAAGCTCCTGATGCAAATTCCAAAAAGATGTGTGTACTTAAATTCTGATATTTTTCAGAGGTCTGAGATGGTGTGACCTCATTAACGTAGCTAATAAGGATAAATGTGTGTGATGATTTCCGTAAAACTGTATTTATGTTACTGGCATTCTAAAGATCAAATACTTCCTGAGGTAACCACAATTTATCTCATTGAATGTGAAATATCTTTAAGGTCACCATTTTCAGGCCATCTTTGGTAATACTTTTTAATCCAAGACACTGATAGTCATACGGACATAATTCTGTTCAAAACCCTAACACTTACAAATTTGAATAACTTAGACAAATACACCCCAGGTGCTCCTTTGCATTGCAAACAACCATTTGCTAGAGTTGCAAAATATTGATGAAAATTTCAAGTTGCAAAGAAAACTGTGACAATCGTGTTTGAAATATCATTCTAAAATTTATCCTTCCAATGAAATCTTTTTACATGCATGATTCTAAGTGAAAATTTGGTTTGTCTAAAGCTGAAGGGTGGTTTTTAATATGCCATTTATATGCAAAAAATGCAAGTATGCCTTTAAAAACGCAACTCTTAGCAATACTAGAATTGGAAGAAAGGCATGAGAGAACTTCCTAAATTTACTTGTTTGTGTTTTGCATCTATTTCTTTGTATACTCTATCATTGTAGAAAGTCAATGTATATCTCTCAATATGTACACATCTGAATGTATAAATAATCTACTTAGGTTAATCAGGAAGCAATTGTATTATTAATTTATTTTCCAGTAGGGCTTACACAACTTTAGGAAGCTGAAAGAGTTCCTAGGGATGACCTACAACAATGTTTCGTTTCATGTATGAGGAAACTTGCCTAAAGTTCCACACACAGTTATTGATACAGTGAGGAAGGAAACTAGTCAATGGGTTCACAGTTCTGTGTTCTATCATTTTCTTATTTAAGGACATCATTGGTGTAAAATCACTGCCATTACTTTCATCACCAGCTACTATTTACTTCATTCAATACTATCATTAATCTTAGAAAAATCCTGTAAGAGGCAGGCATTGTTCCCACTTAAAAGTTAAGCAAATCAGAAGTTTACATAGGTGATGAATGAGATAAATGAGCCAGGATCAAAAGATAGATTTATCGGATTCAGAGCCCATAGACTTTTCCACTGCACTTCAGTACCTCCTCCAAAATGACCAATTTTGGCTAGACTAGAAGACTACACTTGAATCAAAGTATTTCAACAATTAAAAATCCTCTTGCCTAATTTTCACTTCTTCTGTCTAGCATCAGCCGTGTCTAACGAATTAAATGACACACCGGCTACAAAACCACTTTGTAAACTGTAAAGTATAAAAATTCAAACAAAAATTTTAAATGTCACTAGATATACAATCTGCAAACATGAAAAAGTATGTGTTCACCATGGAAAAAACTGGGTAGACTATCTCCCAAGGGAGGCATCTAATACATCTAGTATTATGGTTTATGGACTTTCAGGCACAGAAATGACCACTCTCAAGGTTAGATTCACATTAATAAAGTTTATAAAGACTGATCTATAAAATCAGAATGTCAGTTACAGTAACTGTGAGAAAAAATTATAATGGATATTAGAACACTCTAAGTCTAAAGGACCAGCGGGCATTTTCTCCCTGTAGACAAAATTACATTGGAAGTCAAATAACAGAAAGTTGTTTGGTGATCATACGATCAGAACAAATGGAATGAAATGAATTGCTATTTTCACGCTTACTAATTAAAAACAGATGGGTATATTCCTTTCCACAGTAAGAATTATCTCTTCAATGAGACTAGAATCCTTACATCCTACTCACTAAAATTCAATCTTCCCTCTGTCATCAACAGTGCCTAGGTCTTCTTAAGTAATTCCTTGGCCAAGGAATTTATGATGAATACATTACTTCTTTAGATAAACTCATTTCTATTAGAGGCTACAGTAAATTCCTTCTGGTCTGGGAGCCATTTTGTTTTTTAAGGTAATTTTACCTGAACTCTGCTCTGCTCTGATGGAAAATACTTGATTGCATGGATTCAGAAACCAGACTTATTTCCTAGATTTTAAAATACCCCAAGTACTACCGTTAATAATAGCTAATATTTGCGGTGATTATCTATTAGACATTTTGCTAAGTGCTTTATGCATAATATTGCATTTAATCTTTGCCATACTCTCTAAGGTAGATATCAGCCTTGCTTTATAAAGAAAAACACTAAAATTTTCAGAGAGAAAGTAAATTGGCTCAAGGTCACACAGTTAGTAAGGAAAAGAAATGAAAGCTGAATCTAGTCTGACTCCAGAGCTGATGCTGTTATTCACCACAGTTTTCTACAAGATACTTTTATCACTGCTATCCTATTTCTGGTTACCAGATTCCTCATATATACTGCATGTGAGGGAGAAAAAACTAAGTTCCTGAGAAAACTTAGTATATAAAAGATGTGCAAACCATTATATATATTCTTTTAAAAATAACATAAATGCAGGGGCACCTGGGTGGTTCGGCCAGTTGAGCGCTTCAGCTTTACCGTTGGGCACGTGAGTTCAAGTTCCAAGTTGGGCTCTGGGCTGACAGCTCAGAGCCTGGAACCTGCTTCAGATTCTGTGTCTCCCTCTCTCTCTGTCCCTGCCCTGCTTGCACGTGCATACGTGCACACGCTCTCTCTCTCACACACGCAAAAAATCAACATTAAAAAAAAAACTTTTTTAAATAACATAAATGCAGACCATGCTGCTGTTATTAATTTACTCACTTAACAAATATTGAGTGACTTTGTGTGCCAGCACTGTTCCAGGAGCTGGAGATACAAGGAATAACAAAAGAAATGTCCCTACTCTTAAAGCTGATATTTGGTCGAAAGAAAAGGGGGTGGGAAAGGACACGAGAGACAAAAAATAAACAAATATAAATATATATCAAATGGTGTTAGGAGCTACGAAGAAAAATAAAGCAGATAAGGGAGACAGACAGTGAGGCAGGAAGAGGCAAGATGGTTTTTTACAAAGTGAAGAGAAGGCAGGCCTCTCTGATAACGTGCCGTGAGAAAGCAATCTATGAGGACGTGAGGGAAGACTACGTCTGGCAGGCAAGTGCCAAAGTCCTAACACAGAAGTCAGTAAGAGTGAAAAGAAGGCCAGTGAGGCCGGAGCAAAGTGAACAGGAGGGAAAATGGACTGTGAGGTCGTGGAAAGACTGCAGAGGCCAGATTACGCAGAGCTCTGAATGGGCAGAGAGTTAGGGGGCTATTATAAAAATCGAACCTCAAGAAATCATGGCTTAGACAAGAGTGGTCACAGAAGAGGTGGTAAAAATTGATCACATTCTGAATGTACTGGAAGGTAGCATGACAAAATAAAAAGAGATCTCGATACAGAGAAGTAAAGTATTAAAATACAAAATTTCTTTGCCATTATGCAGTATCAAGCATTCTAAAGAATGAAGTACAGGAGCGCCTGGGTGGCGCAGTCGGTTAAGCGTCCGACTTCAGCCAGGTCACGATCTCGCGGTCCGTGAGTTCAAGCCCCGCGTCAGGCTCTGGGCTGATGGCTCAGAGCCTGGAGCCTGTTTCAGAGTCTGTGTCTCCCTCTCTCTCTGCCCCTCGCCCGTTCATGCTCTGTCTCTCTCTGTCCCAAAAATAAATAAACGTTGGAAAAAAAAAAAAAAAAAAAAAAAAAAAAAAAAAAAAAGAATGAAGTACAAACATAAGATGACTTACTTTACTGGTCAATGTATTTATTTCCCGTTCAGCTTTATGCAATTTACTAATTAAAACAGTATTTTGTTCATTGATTGATTGTAGCTCTTTTTCCAAGCGTTCAGCCTGTAGTTTAGCTGACTGTTTTTCAGCCTTTAATTAAAAAAAAGTTTTTTAATTTATTCATAAATGTTGGAATTATATAAAAATAAGCACTATTTTAAATATATGTGTAATCATACTAGCCCCAACTACTCAAAACCTCATCAATACTAACATGCACCAAAACAACAAGAGTTTCCTCAAAGTAACTGGTAGAATTAAAATGAATGATATTTGCTCCAGGAAATATGTAACAAGAGTATCTACCCAAATGACATTATCAACAGACACCACCAAAATACAACTCATAAACTTCTCTCATGAGAGTGTACCTCTGTGTACTCACTTGACACCTATTTAACTCTTTTTGCTGACATAATTCGAACAAACATTTTTGGGGGTTTCAATGCATCTCAGAAATATAAAAGTATATTAGAAAGTAGAAGAAAGGGCTCATTTGTAGTAGTAGGTGAGAGCAAAAAATCTGAAAATCAAGGGAGATTAAAAAAAGAGAGATTTAAGAATTCAAAATTCTCAATCTGGAGCCTCTGGAAGTATGAACAAAGAGCTCAATAGCTCTTGATCCCATCACATAATAAAGATTCTTAAGTCTGTAAATTTTCAAGAAAATTTCTGGTTGGTAACAGTCATAGTACTCTTTAACTTGAAAATGAAAACTAAATGCTTTTTAAAAATATTTCCACTCAAAATAGTTAAAATGTTTGACATTTAAAAAACAAGCTTCACGGTTTTATAAGATCTCATTTCCTATATATCTTAAATACAATAAGCATATATTCAGGGGCACCTGGGTGGCTCAGTCAGTTAAGCGTCCGACTTCGGCTCAGGTCATGATCTCACGGTTTGTGGGTTCAAGCCCCGTGTTGGGCTCTGTGCTGACAGCTCAGAACCTGGAACCTGCTTCAGATCCTGTGTCTCCCTCTCTCTCTGCCCCTTTCCTGCTCTCCATCTGTCTCTCTCAAAAATAAATAAACATTAAAAATAAAAATTTTATTTAAATTTTTTTTTCAACTTTTTTTTTTATTTATTTTTGGGACAGAGAGAGACAGAGCATGAACGGGGGAGGGGCAGAGAGAGAGGGAGACACAGAATCGGAAACAGGCTCCAGGCTCTGAGCCATCAGCCCAGAGCCCGACGCGGGGCTCGAACTCCCGGACCGCGAGATCGTGACCTGGCTGAAGTCGGACGCTTAACCGACTGCGCCACCCAGGCGCCCCTAAAAATAAAAATTTTAAAGAGTATATTCAACAAGTAATTCAGAAAAAACTATTTTCCTCAAATATAAAATGATAGTCTTTGGGCAGACACAATGATAGCCAAAAAAAAAAATCAAAGAAGAAAAAATGCTTCTTCTCATGTGCTTATTCTCATTTCATCTGACAAATGATAAAATTAACTCTTTGAAAGTGTCACAAATGAACCTCCCATCTTTTGTAATCATTGAACTTGTCCTGAAAATCAGCACTCCAAATGACCTCAATAAAAAGCTCTGCATTGAGATCAAACACTGTATTCAATTGCAATCATCCACTTACTCAGTCACTATAAATACATTAATACTGAAAGGTAGCAACATAAAAGTCTCATTCTGAACTGCCTCATGTCTAAGGTCCAATGATACAATTTTAGTTCAGGAAACCAATAAATACTGTCAGAAGCTTCATCAAAAAATAAAAAGATTACTTCTATTCTTCAAAACATATCAATATTTTGGCTGTACCCAGTTTTTTGGCTGAAAAAAAAATCACTATTTTGCTAGATGCCCACTAATTCCCTACAAGTCTAATCATTTCACAACTATTCTAAACACACACACACACACACACACACACACACACACACACACTTTGGATTGCTCAAATCAAAACTAGTTTTTGATTGCTCAAAACTAGTATATTTGCTATATGTTAGACACTAAAAACCAGGAAAAGTAAGCATACCTAAACAAGGTGGTTAAGGGATCCAGAATGTCACCGTGGCATAAAAATTATTTTGAGCTGAAGGCATTTGATAATCAATAGACACAGGAAAAGGTTTTTCCCCCGAACTCCTCTCTGCTACCAAAAACCAGAGCCACCAAAAAGAATTATAAATCCCCTTGTCTGGGTTTTATAGCCAGTGAAGACTGACTCCTATTTAGGGAGAAGGATAAAAAATCACCTATACAGACACTGTCACAAAACTGTCATATCTCCCATCTATTTTCCTAAGGGCCTGTTTCTTTGCTAAAAGTCATTTGTGTTCCCCTAAGTGCCTTTTCTCCCTGTCTCGTTTCCCTATTAAGATGGTATGCAGGGTCACCTGGGTGGCTGGGTCAGTTAAGCCTTTGACTTCAGCTCAGATCATGACCTCACAGTTTGGTTCAGGAATTCAAGCCCTGCATCAGGCTCTCAGTGCAGAGCCTGCTTCAGATCCTGTTTCCTTCTCTCTCTGTCCCTTCCCTGCACTCTCTCACTCTCAAAAATAAATATTGTTTATTTTTACTTATTTAAAAAAAAATTTTTTTTTTACATTTATTTATTTTTGAGAGGCAGAGACAGAACGTGAGTAAGGGAGAGGCAGAGACAGAGAGAGACAGAATCAGAAGCAGGCTCCAGGCTCTGAGCTGTCAGCACAGAGCCCGACGTGGGGCTCGAACCCACGAACCGTGAGATCATGACCTGAGCCAAAGTCGGACACTTAACCGACTGAGCCACCCAGGCGCCCCAAAAATAAATATTTTTTAAAAGGATGACACGCAAGCCCCAAATTCTACCACTTTGAGCCACATTTTTTCTGTGAACTCCTGTTTACTTACATAAATATCCATCTTTTCTCTTGTTAACCTATTGTCAGTTTAATTCACAATCCCCAATCACTGAACCTAAGAGTATAAAGAAAGTTTTCCTCTCCAACAATGGAAACCAAGAATTTTCATAGAAGAATACCTCTAGGAGTACCAGCCTAGCTCTGCCAGCTCTTATATTTCTCTAACAAACTCAGGAAAATAGTTCACTAAAGACTTATATGCATTAGTACCAAGTTGAATTGTATTACTCTGGCAAGAAGCTGTCATAAGATATAAAAGTATGGTATTTTTATTTAAACAGGTCTTTTGATTTTAATACCTTGAATCCCATGTAAGGAAATAACTATCCAGGAATAAATTGTTCCTTCTGGTTGGAGATGACTTTACTCAGAAACTCAAATTTTGAAAATTTTGCATATTCTACTCTTTGGCATTTCAAGGGTTAAATCATTTTGGCTAGATATTTTGGCTCCCAAAGAATAAATAATCCCTTTGTAAATGTAGTAGCATAGCTATTGCTTATGAATCAATAGCTTTCTTCTTTACAAAAAGAATCTATACTCTTGGGACTCTACAAATGCATCAGCATTAGATTGGTAAGCATACATTTGTGCTCTAAAAATCAAAGGCTTGTCGATTGCACTTTCAAAAAAGTATGCCATACTCTACCGGGAAGCAATTACAATCTTACCTCCAGGGATCTGACTGTAGCCTGCGTCTCAGCCAACTGCCGTACCTGGATTCTTTGGACATTTTCTACCTGAGCACCAGAATTTTCTTTTTCAGCCCTTAATTCAGCTACCTCAGCCTCTAAGCCTTTTACTTTCTGACATAAATGGACTTTTTCTCGAACAAGTTGTTCCATTCGTTTGCTGTCTCTTGTGGGATCAACACTAAGCAGTTGATTATGTAGTTCTTCTTTATCTTTCTCCAGTCCTGCAATCTAGTAATAATTTGAAAGAAAGCACAGAATCTTAAATTAGTGAATTTTCAGTCATGAACATGCTTTACACATCAGTAAATTAAAATTAAAAATTACACAATATGGAAGTTGAGGTAGTGAAAGCAAGTACAAAGGATAAAAACCTAAAATGTCACATTCTTCATTCTGTACTCAGCATGACTCAAATGTGAGGGCAAGGACCTTGTCCTATTTTCCCTCTATCTCCCCATGGTGTCTTCTAAGCACAGGGCTTCATCAGTTGCTAAAATTCAAAATTATAAATAATAGTATAAAAGTAATTAAAAATATGTCAAGTATTTTACAATTCATCAGAACATTATAAAGGGTTTATGCAAGATCAATATGCTGATTGCCACTAAGCTTTTCCTCACGTGACAATACTTGAGCTTTGTCTATACTAATAAAATTATCTATTTCAAGGCCACTTAATTCACAAAAAAGCTGCTTGTCTGTGTAAATACCTACAAATGTGACTGATGAGAGTTTTAAAATGGTAGCTGAGAGTTTATTTAGGCCCTAGTTGCACTGATGGCCTAGTTCTTAATTATTAGATTCAAGAAAGACCTAAAAATTATTACTCCAGGGTATGTGGAAAAGTCACAGGAAAATAGGATGAACAGAAACACAAGTGGTCTTCTCATTCATACCAACCCTCACTGCCGGACCCCCCAGGCCTCCAAATCACGGAGTTTCACACTGCTTCCTAACCTCAGAGGCACTTCAGAGGCCCCTCACCTCCAGGAATCAGGGGCCAAGTTATCAGGGTAAAACTCATTCTTTCTCTTCCCTGATCTGCCCAACCACCATCACCACCAAATCTTTGTTAGCCAGAACAACTCCTCTTTTTTTAGTCTCTTTTTATATATGGGGTTTCTTCGTGTGATTCAACTGAAAGGAGTCAGCTGTTTAAAGAAAAAAAACAAACAAACAAAAAAAACGACTGCTCTTAACAACACTAGAGGTTGTCTGTAGCCAGGATGAGCCTAGAAGCCTCACTCTAACCCAAAAGGACTTAAAGTAACACTCTGCAACATGGGCGAAAGTGACCCAAGAGATGAATGATGGCTCACTTTGCTACTAATGAATCTAAGAAGTGTGAGAGCTCCACCACAGAGCAGAATCTGTTTTCCTCATCTCTAAAATGAGAGTATAGACTGAAGGCCCTCAAAAATCATTTTCAGTTTTAACATGCAGTGATTCCAATTTGGCTTCAGAGACGTTGAATTAAAGATGTCAACGGGAAATACAGGTAGAGCTATCTAGCAGGAAAACACCATTTTTTTCCCCAGAAAATAAAATTCATCATAGAAGGCAGCTATAAAATTCAGCCTCAAGCCTAACTAATTTAGTGTCTCTTTCCTATTTTTCCTCCCACCCTTTACATATAAACACTACCCCCCACAAGTTTGGTCCCTGACTACCTTTTTCCCTCCATATTCTCTGTGTGACTTTGTGCAAGTTAGTTTTTCACTTTGGCACCAAGTAAAATGAAGGTATTAAGCTGGCCATCTTTGAAATACCATTTAGCTTTTTGCATGAGGTAATTCAAATACAGTTTTAGTTTTAATGTGCTATACCAGAGGTGTGGTGGCTGGCACATCTAGGTCAAAGTCCAAGTGGAACTCAAGTTCAAACAATGGTGCCCTTTACTCAGTATTATGACCAAATGCCAAGCTAAGTGCCCTAGACATAAAATTGCATTTAGTAACAGTAACTTCTCTTGTCATCCTCATTTTACATGCAAGGTCAGACAGCTAATGTTCTTGACGAGCATGTTTCCTATATTATTGCTCTCTCCAATAGTTTTGAAAGTCATGTGTGTGATAGCTGAAGTGATAGTTCAAACTATGGATGAAGCCGGCTAATAGCATAGTCACAATTAGATCCCACAATTGTAACTCCCAAACTAGAGCTCGCTATCAAATCATCCCTACGAAATCTGGTGACCATTGCCTTCTAATTTCTCTATTCGTTTATTCATTCATGTAACAAATATTTATTGCGCATTTACTATGTACTCAGGGCTGTTCTAGGTAGTAAGGATACATTACAAACCTAACAGACAAGCAAATAATCACAAAACTGTGCCACCAAAGAGCTTATATTTAATCACTGCTATGATACTGCCCTTGCCCTAGTCATCAGGACACAGATCTTAGACATATCCTCAGCTTTGCCCTTTTCCTCCACTCTCAGTCAGATTCACACTCAATCTTTCTTGATAGCCTTAATCTGTCGTACTCTCAATCCTTTCTCTAAATTTCCCAAAGGCTTTGTTTGAATTTCTCTTTTATGACATTTATCCAAATTTGCCCGTATTGCTACCCTACATTTACTTTATTCTCTTCTAGAATATAAGCTTACCTGACAGGAAACATGACCTATTAACCAATTTTGCTTTTAAAAAATTGTTGAAGTAAAGGAAACAACAGAAACGAGAAAGAGATCTGGGACTAGGAACAGTTGTTGTTTATCTTCTTTTCAAAGGATGGTCGTACCACTCTAACTCACCAGGAGTTTCCTCTCCGAAAAAGAAAAAAGGAGTCTATCTAATTGTTCCCTCCATCTCTGTTTTTATGATCTTTATGATGCAGCATAGAGTAATGGTTAAGAGTACAGGTTCTGAAATCAAACAGCCTAAGTTTGTTTGTTTGTTTGTTTAGTATTTTTTTTTTAAATTTTTTTTCAATGTTTATTTATTTTTGGGACAGAGAGAGACAGAGCATGAACGGGGGAGGGGCAGAGAGAGAGGGAGACACAGAATCGGAAACAGGCTCCAGGCTCTGAGCCATCAGCCCAGAGCCCGACGCGGGGCTCGAACTCACGGACCACGAGATCGTGACCTGGCTGAAGTCGGACGCTTAACCGACTGCGCCACCCAGGCGCCCCTGTTTGTTTAGTATTTTAAAGATATTTCTCTACCATCTTTGGACTTATATTATTTCCAAAAGGAAGTCTGTTGTCATTCTTACTTTTATAACTTTTTCCTGTTTACATTTTTTTTTTAATTTTATTTTTAGATGATGGTAGGTTCACATGCAATTGTAAAAAATAATTCATGGGGCACCTGGGTGGCTCATTTGGTTAACTGTCCAACTATTGATTTCGGCTCAGGTCATGATCTCATGGTTTTTGAGATTGAGCCCCACACTGGGCTCTGTGCTGACAGCGCAGATCCTGCTTGGGATTCTCTCTTTGCCCCTCCCCTGCTCACGCCTGTGTTCACTCGTGTGCACTCTCTCTGTCTCAAAATAAATAAATAAACATTAAAAATATAATAATAACTCAGAGTTTCTGTGTACCCTTTACCGTTTCCCCAACTGGTAACATCCCTCCTCTTTTATTTTCTGTAAGACATGTATAGAACTGGTTTGCATTCTTCTTTAAACACTGTGTAGAATTCTCCAAGGAAACCATTCTTTTGGTGAGTTTTTAATATGAATTAAGTTTCCTTAATAGTTATATGGCTATTCAAATTATTTCATATGGGGTAAGTTACGGTAGTATCTGCCTTTTGAGCCATTTTATCCATGTTTGTCAAATTTGTTTGGGTAGAGCCGTTCACCAGATTACCTTATTAACCTTTTGATGTGTGCAAGACCTGTAGTGATAGTCTCAGTTTCATTCCTGATATAGATAATCTGTACCTTCCCTCTTTTTTTTTTTTTGGCAGTCTTGCTAGAGGTTTGTCAATTTTATTAATCGTTTCAAAGAAACAGCTCTTTGCTACACTGATTTTCTCTACTGCTCTTCTGTTTTCAATTTCTGCTCTTATCTTTCTTATTTCCTTCCCTCTACTTATTTTGGGTGTATGTTGATCTTTTTCTAGGTTCTTAAGGTGGGAGCTTAGATTACTGATTTGATATTTTTCTCCTGTTTTCTAATGAATGCATTTAGCACTATACATTTTTTCTCAACAATACTTTAACTGTATCCACATTTTCATTCAGGCTAATGTATTTCTTAAAATTATTTTTTATTAATATGTTTTCATTGAAATTTCCTCTTTGACTTATGAATTATTTGAAGGGTATCATTTCATTTCCAACTGAGGATTTCCCTACTATCTTTCTGATATTGATTTCTAGCTTGATTCTATTATGGTTAGAGAATTCATTTTGTATAATCTCAATTTTTATAAATTTGTTGAGGTTTATTTTATGGCCCAAGATATAGCCTGTTTGGGTATACCCTTAATAGCCACTTGAAGAAAAACGTGTTTAGGTGCTCTTGTTGGGTAAAGTGTTCTATAAATGTTGATTGGATTCTGTTGGTTAATGGTGTTGTTGAGTTCTACATCCTTACTGATTCAAATTTTTTTTATCAGTTGTTGAAACAAGGGTGCCAAATCTCCAATGATAATTATGGATTCAGCTCTTTTTTTTTTTAGTTCTACTAGATACTTTTCTTTGCTCTGAAGTCTACTTTATCTGATATTAATACAACCACTTATGTTTCTTTTATTATAAGACATATAATTTTCCATCCTTTTAATTACTAACTACCTATATTGTTATTTTTGAGGTTTCCTATAGACAGCATATAGTTGGGTCTTTCATTTTTAACATCAACTCCATCAATCTCTTTTAATTTTTACATGTACACCATTTACCTTTATTGTGACTATAAATATTTTATGGCTTCGGTTTTTTTTTTTTTCCTATTTCTTGTTCTAAGTTTGTTTCCTTTTTCCTGCCTTTCTGTGGGTTCCTTGAACATTTTTTTGGGATTCCACTTGATTTATCTATAATTTTCTGAGCATATCTCTTTGTATAGCTTTCTTGGTTGTTGCTCTGGGAATTACTTAGATATACCTTATCATAGCCTACTGGTTTCATTTTACCAGTTCAAGTTATAGTTAGAAATTTTACTTCTCTTTACATCCTTTGCCCTTGTTTATAATTGTCTTAATTTCCAGTATATACATTTAAAACCACATCAAACAGTACTATAATATTTGCTTTAACCATCAAACAAAA